ATTCTAGTCAATAAGACATTAAAATATTCAGAAATGCATATTTATTTTTAGTCTTTTGTATCCTCCTAATTTTCTCCCAATTCAATCACTGTCATTAATCTAAATAATTGAATATAATGTAACKACAGTTGAATAATTATGTTGTAAAAATTGATCAATATTTAATTTCTTTGAATAATAAGTTCAAATTTTCACTTTAATCTAAAAACTAAACCAAGATTGAATATTTACATACATGTTGTAATTTATGTTTCTATGATAGGGATGAAATATAACTATTTCACAGATATAGCCATGAACAATTTTAATAACATTCTAATATTCTTAATTTAAATTTTTTTGTAATTTTTGGTCTTCAGAAATTTTCAACAATGGACCTTTTATACTTAAAACACAAAGTTAAATAACTCAAAAACTACTCATTAAAATTTTTATTTCAATACATCAAAATTCTCAAAAAAATTGTAAGCTAAATAATTTCTAGTAAAAACTCGCGGTTCTCATTTGAAAAACAAAAGTTTGTATCGCCACAGGACACTCTTTAAGTGGTACAAAAAAACTCAAGAATTTGAAAATATGATCTTTGAGTAGGTACCTATATTTAAAGATTCCAAAAATCAGATTTTGAATAACTTCATTATTGAAGAAAAAGGGGGAGTAAACATGCTTAGTGAATCACTGTATAACATTAATGAATAAAATTTGATTTAGTACCTTATATTGATAGTTAATTTATGTGTCACTGAAAAGTAAAAAAATTAGGATAAAAAAAAATATTCAAATTTAAATATTATCATTTTTATTTATTTACATAATTTTGTCAAACAAAACCACATGTCTTGAATGAAATTTCCGTTTTGTCTCCGCTGTTTTCTTTTGCAATGTTTATGAATACAGCAAATTCTTGTTTGCGTTGCTTTATTTTCAAATCCAGGAGACTATCGAGACAGATGAACATAATAGGTATATTTTATTTTATTTATTTTATTTTATTATTTTTATTACCATTTTAACATTATCATTATTAGCTATTTCTGTTTGATCATTTTGATTTTTAAAATTTTTTTCTGGATAGTTCCTTGTTTCTGATATTTGTTTTTTGATTTCTGGTGTTAGTTTTCTGGTTTCTGGTATTGGTTTTCTGGTTTCTGGTGTTGTTTTTTTGGTTTCTGGTGACTGGCTTCTTGCCTGTTTTGGTTTACTATCCTCATGCAATTTCGGGGGTTCTTGCACATTAGATACCTGTCTGGTTTGATTCACATCAATTGGCTTTCTCTTATAGCTGAATTTTTTTGTTTTATGCCTCTTGGCATCACAAGCGTTATAAGACATATTTATGTGATATACATTTTCGTAAAATAAGCAGCGATATGAAATGATTAATATATTTTTCAAAGATAAAAATTTAATAAGTATTTRTTTTAAATATTTCTATGGAAACAAAAACAAAATTATTAAGATTAATATTATATTAATTATTAAAAAAAAAATAATAAGTCTTCCATAAGCTCGAACACCGAAGAAAATGAGCTGTTTTAAGTGGTCTGGGAATTAAGGCGTTGGACCAAATGTCCTTCGACATATGTTATGTAGACTATTTTATTGGCTTTTATTATTTGCTCATAAAATATCTTGTTAATATACAAATAATTATCATTCATTCTTTTAAAGCTAAATTTTCATCGATCTATAATGAGTACATTTCCAATGTTCAACTTGGTACTATGATAAAACATAATTATAATTAACTAGAAATAACAAATAAAACATCGGAATTTATTTGAGTATATATATATAATATGTATTACTCGACTTYGCTGTTTAAAACTACCTACCTAATCATTCTTTTATCCTTCTACTCTTTTTCGTTAGGCTTCTGTTTAAATATTCAATACATTACA